CCGCGGATAACAGAGCAGGCAGGAGGGGGGGAGGACGAGGAGAAGAGCGGTGAACTTATTTCTAATTTTATCTGACTTATTTGATTTTATTTTTATTGTTTTTTATTGTCCTGCAGGCTCTGATGGAAAATTAATTTGAAGCTGAGTATTTTTTTTATAAAAATCATTTGATTAATCTAAAGCAAAATGCGGGAAAATCTGTGTCAATTACAGACATTCTGTTCACGTGAGCAGCTGTCAGTCAGCACCTGTCAACCTCCAGACGCAGGTCGGAGCGTGTCTGAACCAATCACTTTTGTTGGCATTGATCAGCTGACTGATTTAAATACATCTTAAYATTCATGAGGTACTTTACATTGACTGTTTATGGTTGAGTGTGGGCGTGTAGAGGGTAGAACCTGAGGAGGGACCTCGTGCGCAAACGCTGATGTGCGGCTGTGATTTATAAAGGAAAGATGTGCAGAAACATGCGTACGCATGGTTTTATAAATCAGAATTTTTTTTGGCGTACGCCATTTCCGCCTTTTGGCCGTAAGTTCACTTTTAGTATGGTTTCCACGCAATCCTTTATAAATGAGACCCCTAGCCTGTTTTCAGAAAACTCTAAAAACATCCAATGTTTTTTAAGTGAGGAGGCTTCGATCAGTTACAAAATGCAAAACATTTTATTTTAATCCGGAGTTCCTCAGAACAATGAAGTTTGACCACTTTTAACATCTTCAGTGACAACACTGACTGTAGGTTTTTAAACTAAAGTAGACTGGTTCATTACCTCACTGTACAAAACCACCTGGACTCATCTGGATTAAAGCTACCATCACAAACTGAAGGGATGGTTCAGATGCAGTTTCTAAATTTGTGTAACTAAATATAAAACAGTATATCCTCAGTGTTGACTCTTACTCTTAAGAAAAATCAAGTTGCATCATGATAGCTATAAATACACAACTGCTTCCTGAAGTGCTAAAGTAAAAATGTATTTAAGTTGCTCAACAATTATTTGTAGTTAGCACATGGATCTGCCAATCAAACACAACTAGACCCTTAGATTGAGGGAAACATGATGTTAGTACCGAGACTGATGTAAACAGTGTTCAGTTTCACTGTAATAAATCTATTCTTCAGTTTTTGAGTTACATAAACAAGCTGCTGCTTTGACTCACCGTCCTCTGAATGTAGTCCCAGGTCTGTTCTGTGGTCCTGTTCTGGCCCGTGTAGCTGATCATCATGTCTCTAATGATGTTGGACATCTCGTATTTCAACTGGAAAGATTAAAAAGAGTAAATTATTACAAGCAGAGTTTAAAAGGGTTTTATTTATAATACAGCAAGCCTCCGTTTGGATTAGGTTTGGAAAACAGAAATCACCTTTTTTTCCTAAGACTCTGTCTTGTTCGTTCACATTCATACTCAGCAAGATCACATACAGCTCATTAATATCCAGATGAGGTAAATACATAAATATCCTCCTTAAGGTATGTATTAGACTTGGAAGAAAACAGTTTCGTAACTCCCTAAATACAACAGCACTGATGCTAATCTTTCAATGATTAATATAATTCTTCACCTAAAATCCATTTATTCAGCTTCTGTTTAGAGTCTCACTTGGGATGTCCATTTTTATTTGTCAGAAGCATTTATTATAAAGTATTTTAGTCCTGTGTGTGCACAGTTTTAAACATCAGCTGTTCAACGTTGATAAAACTGGGAAACAAAAAAAAGGGCTAAAGCCGTCCGTCTGTCCATCAGTCCTTCGCTTTGTGGTCAGGCAGCTGATCAGATACCCAAACCACCTCAACTGACTCCTCCTTTTCACCTTCCACTGCCACATCGGCCTTTCTGTCCTTGACACACATGCACAGTAGTGGTAACTGGGGCAGGCCGTGGACGTCACAAGACATTATACAGACAGGCTCTGGTATCATGGCTACCTGACAACGGAGCTCAAAGTGTGGGATCATTTTAAGAAAATGAAAGAGAAACCTGTGYAATATCTGCAGAGCAGAACTTRCCTTCCACAGCAATTATTTTTAGTTAGCATATAGCTAAAATCTAATGATGGTTATATAATAGCAGCTGCATTCTGGCGCGATAAGCTCTATGTTTTATATTCAATTAACGTATGATCTGATTAGTCGACTAATCGAAAAAAGATAATAGGTGATTAATCGATTATAAAAATAATCGTTTGTGGCAGCCTTAGGGTCAAACAATGTTTTAGTCAAACAGAACCAACAAGAATGAAACAAAAAGTAAAGAATTAGAGAAAAAAATAAATGTTAAATGTAAATAAATTCAAATTATAATAAATTAATAACAGTTTTGCATCTAAAAATCATATTTTATTATTTTAATCTATTTTCCTCATTCAGCAACCTATTAAAATTTTGTTATGTTTCATGTAGGAGAAATACACATTTTTTTCTGTCAGTATTTAATACAGCTGGCAAAATAAATTGTTAAAATATGTATTATGTGCTTCTGTTTTTTAATTCAGGGGATTATTTAAAAAATCCTTCATTTTATGGGAAGACCCTCCTGATTCAAGAGAAAAATCAGTTTTTTTTAAAAATGGCTGCTTATTAATTAATCACTAATCAATCTATAAGATAAATCAACTTCAGATTAATTCATTATCAATAACTTGCATCCTTAAGGAGTTAACTTAATTTATATCTACTCATATTCAAGTAATTAAGTGTTTTAATGATTTGGCCGATTAATCGAAAAAATAATCAACTGATTAATCGATTATTAAAATAATCGTTAGTTGCAGCCCTACATTGAAGGTGTATTGTGACCATATAACACCTGACAGTGTCAGTTATTTAAAAAATTGATATTGGTCAAAGTCAGAATTGGATGGTCAGACATTTAAAAGACTGATCGGCCAGAAAAGTGCAATCGGTGCACCCCTAGTAAGAACGAGTGTCCTGATCCTTCGTTCCATCTCCATTCTGCCATCCCTTGTAAACAAGACACTCAGAAACATAAACTCCTTCGTCTGAGGGAGTGACTCATCTCTGCCCCACACAGAGTGCCAAAGCCAAGAAAACAAAAATACCCACACCATAACTTCTGACACAATTCATCATCTTTATCTGAACCTCATGTTTCTGAGCAGAATGCCACAGTTCACACGTGTGAAGCCTCACGCTGGGCTGAAACACTACAAAAACACAACATCCAGTGCGAAAGACTAACTGGGTTTATGAGGGAAAGACCACAGAGTGAGAGCTGCGACGCAGCTCTGCAGAAGATGAGTGAGAGCCTCACCCTGTTCTGGGAAAGGGCACCACCCTGCCCTGTGGTGAGCCTTAAACACAGGGAGTGTGTGGAGGGCTACACACACGCATGTGCTGTCACAGAAATACACATGTTCACACACGCACGCACACACACACACACACACACACACACACACACACACACACACACACACACATACAAACACTAAAATCTACCTCCACAAACAATTTGGTTAGGTTGATCAACAGAGCAGTTTTTTATGTCCTCTGTAAATAATACATGTCAGAGACACTGATGTGCTCAAACAAAATGCTGCCTCACTATGATTCATTACACTTGTAATTACACAGGCCTGTTAATATACTCCTTCTAGGGTTGGGCGATTTTGGCAAAAAAAAATTATCACGATTAATTGTGGTATTTAGCCGATAATGATTAATTAGACGATTAATCCCCTGGAGTCCCTGGACACCCTTATGTCCTGGTCACATCACCAATTGTGGGAAATATTGGCTCTTCATAAAAATCTTTTTCAAATTTTGTCCAAATCACAGACTTCAGGCTATACATCAAATTTTAAATTGTGTTGATAGATAAATGAATTGCAGAAAATTTGTTTAAATGTTTGACATATTTGAAGTGGAGAGGAGCAGCCAGAGGACTGACCGGGGAATTATCCAGTCAGTCTGCCTGGTGGCATTAATCATATTAATTGTCAAGTGCCAAAAAATAATTGATTAATGTTTTTCGGACGATTAATTGCACATGATACGATTATGCCCAACCCTAACTCCTTCTGCTCAGTGGTCATAATAAAATGAGTTTGAAAGATCATCTTATAGCATTCTGACAATCAGGATGTTTACAAATGAGCACTGACTCAAACAGTACTATGTGGAAAAAACAAATCAGCATACTCTTTTAGCAAAATAAAGTAGGTTTCATTTTTTATACTTCTACCATAATGAAAATGTTTCCAGTGTAAAGCTTACTAACTTAATGTAGTCTTAAAGTAAAATCTTCATAACATCATCTTTTAAACTATTTTGTTTGAAAAATACACTAATTTTGGCATTTTCTAATCTTCATACAAAAAAGAGAAGTAAAACAAAACTAACAAAAAACAAACAAACATTTTTTTTTACTGTTTTGTGGTGCTCAGTGTGTTTTTAATTGGGGTACTGTTAATTTAACTTCCAAATAGTCTTTTTTATTAACTAAGTTTTTAAACGTTACATTCATTAAATGTCTAATCTCTACCTACAGGGGGCAGTGTGTCACCAAAGATCTAAAAAGTAGGTGCTGTTTTTGTCCCTGAGACCACCATTTTTTCACACAGAAGAAAGTTTTTAAGTGGCGACAGCTTTAGTAACATCCGTTGAAAAAATATTTGTCTTCCTCACTCTCTCTAGCTGCAAAACCACACACACACACAAAAAAATACATTCTACAGGAGGAACTGAGACAACAACAGGATCTGCTTGCTACTTCCGCGAGAGTAGTCATAACATCTTTAGTCCCATCTGCTTTAACTGTCTTGTGTTTTTTCATGAACCTGATGTCAGATCAGTCATAAACTGACATCCTGTCACTTTCCATATGATGATCTAAAAGTGATACTGTGGGGTCTCTGACTGGTTTTAACAGCACACCCAGATTCAACCACAGCTGGGAGGGGAAAACGTGAACCCCCAGTAAGCAGAAGTTGTAACAGTGGAAGAAAAGGTGGTGAAGTGAAGAGTGAGAAGGTGGGGGAACAAAAAAAGGGTAACTTAGAGTTTATATAGACAATTATTAAGGACTGCACAATATGAACAGCAGCAAACAATAAAAGAGAAATTATAAACAGGTTAATTTAAGGAAGAAGTGATGAAGGGAAACTGAACCTGAGCCTTACCCGATCTCTCTGGAAGTAAATGAGAACTCCAGCAGTGACCTGAGCAATGAGGATGAGGAGAAGGCAGGTGAAGTACTGCAGGGAGCAAAGAAAAACACGTGTTTAAAACATTGATCAAAAAACTGTGTAATAAAAAAATTAAGGGAGAAAGAACCACATCAAAAAAGCCTTACTCTTTCCCCCCAGTTAGCTTCTAAGTATTAAAATCAGGCTAATGATTGACTGATTGTAGTGCTCTACCAAACGATTATTTTCTAATCGATTAATCTAACGATTATTTTTTCGATTAATTGATTATTCTAACAAATCTATAAGTTATTCTGATGTGAGTGCACTGGAAATTCAAAATGTTTTCATCAAATTAACAAGAACAGTTCTTTAATACTGTAATATTTTCTTTAATAGTTTTTTCATGGACACAAAATATGCACTCTAGAGTCAATTCTTTAACAAAAAAAGCTTAAAAGATTTAACATCAATATAAAATCTCAACCAAAGCGTATAAAATTCAAGTAAAAGAAATATAGTGTAAGATGTTAACAATCTAACAAATGAACTAAATCATGCAGAATTCAAGTCACACTCTGGAAAAACTATAATAAACATTTATTTATTATTTTTTATTTAACATATTTCTCAGTATATAAAAATTAACAAATATCAAGACAACATCCAACTCTTTGTATTGTAACATCAGATGTGTAACTTATTTCTTTAAGGTGAAAACTGTTGAAAACAACAAGACWGTTTTGTCTTATTACACAAATTAAAATCCAGCTCCACGTGTTTCTATTGATGTCATTTCCCCACTAGAAAAATATGTGATGGAGGTCCATGGAAGGCAAATATTTTTTAATCAAAAAAACAAAAGAGGATGCAGTGGAAGGTGTCAAAGCAGTTTGGAGAGAAAAACAAAGTAAAGAACAAAAAGAAAAAAGAAAACGATTAATCGATTATTAAATTAGTCATCGATTAATCGATTAATCGTAGCAGCCCTAACTGATTGTTCTTCTATTTTGGTTTACAATATTCTAAATCAAGGGTTTCCAACACTGGGGTTGGGACCCCACTGTGGGTGGTGAAACCCTAAGGCCTGGTTTACACAATACTGTGGCTTTTCTGCTGCGGTTCAGCTGTTTGTGTACGCAAAAACCGAGTATGTTTCCTCTGAAACCAAAGGTGTTTGAATCCAGGGGATCAGAGTGGAGATTTTTGTGAAAACCCCTCGCAAAGATGCAAAACTGCAGGTGCATTCTACCTGCAGCTGCAGTCAATAGTTCTTCTGCGCTTGCAAGAGCGGATAAACAGCGGTGAGTCACATGCAGCTATCAAAATTCTGTTTGTCCTACTCATCCTCAGTCCAATAAAGATTCCTTTCTTCACCATTTTGGATGTAAATCAGAAAAGAAGAGACAGCTGCCAAGGTGGGTGTCAAAGCAAATCGAGGTGGGTGTGATGTGAGTGGAGGTGGGCAATAAAATACTGTCCACTGCCAACAACTGGCCACTCAAAACATGGCTGAATGTCTCATGCCTGGTTCACACTAGGGGTCGACCGATACATCGGCCAGCCGATATTTTTGGCCGATATTTGCGTTTTTTCCTTGTATCAGTATCGGCCGATACACTGTACGTTCAGCCGATCCGTTCTTTGGGTCACGCGAGCGCATGTGTCCGCCCCTTCCCCCGGGGAGAGTGCAGCAGCTAATGTTGTGAGACAGAGTGCTAACTACAAGAAGGGTGAGTTATGAACTGTAAATGTGTTTTAACTGTCTAATTTAACTGTTTCTACCCTCTGTGTCGGAATATGAGGGAAGAAAGAACAGCTGTGTTTAAGTTTCTTTTCTAGATGGGAGCGCTCCGACATGCTTTACTTTCACTTTCGCACTGCACTGCAACCAGCATGTCCGCATTGTTTTTCTTTTTAAAAATGCTGGAGCTGCTCACAGGAGGCACAGAAGAACACCTCTATTGTTCTCCCTGCTGGATTAAAATAAAAAAGCTTTCGGTCTTTTCTCACTGCACGTTTTAGCGAGCGCAGCCGTCCACCATCATGTGAACCAGATACTGCTCACATCACGTTTACTGTGACCGCAGTGGTGATGCTGGTTCTCTTCGGTGTACATTTCAAACTGATCTAAAGTTAATGTGAGCTGTTTTAAATGCATTTTTTGCCTGATGTTAAAAACGGGAGCAGCAGACTGAGGCAAAGATGCTGTGTGCGCTGTGTGTGTGAAGTCCTCACAAAGATAGCAAGATGTATGTGTGTCTCTTCTTTTCTCTGTGTTGCTCTGACAGTTTTATTTAGGCTTGTTGCTGTTTTTGCATCAAAAATGCTGGGATATTAAAAAATTGTAAGTTTATGTAAAAATATATTATTCTTGTTAATATACAAATAAGAACAGAATATTTGGCATTAGATAAAATAAATAATGAATTTATTTATTTTTAATTTTTTTAAAGAATAAATCCTGTGTGGTAGCACTTAATACAGCCTGCATCAGACAAGGCTTAGTTAATAAATGGTTTTTGTTTTATTTTTTTTAATTAAGACTTGTGTAACATTTGTTATCATTCTTATTTTTATCATGTTAATGGAGGAAGAAAAAGTAGTATCGGCTTCAAGAATCGGCCAAAAAATATCAGCTGCACGTATCGGCATATCAGTTAGACTGATGTTTAAAAAACCGGTTTCGGTATCGGCCTTCAAAAACCTGTATCAGTCGATAGTTCACACGGCAACATTTTAAAATTGTCGGTTGAGAGACCCCACACATGATGATGAAAAATCAGATATAAATGGTTTGGTGTTACAGTGGGTGGTGTACAGCCCCACAGCAAAATACAACACACACCCATCTAACATCAGAATGTTCGATATGTGTGTGTTGTATTAGAATATGGAAAATCTCATGAGAGCTCTCGAGATCAAACGTGAGTTCAGAGTAAATAAACACAGTGGGCGAGGAAGAAGCAATGATGCAATAGTTTGTGGACTATTTTTAGCAGAGGAAAAAAACTAAACAAAAAGACGTCTCCAACGTCCAGCTGACTTTCTGGTGCACCATGACAGCTGTTTTGTCTTCTGTGTTTTGAATTCTTCTCCATGTTTTGGATTCTCCTCACTTTCTGATTGGCTACATGTCACATTCAACAGGCTGAAAGCTCTTAAATCACCCCACACGACACAAATATCTCAAAAGGTAATGTTTAGAGCCATCACAATAACCGGAGTGTCCTTAAGATTGTCAGAAGGGCAAAATCGAGCCAAAAAAATCAGCACAATTATCTTGCCAAGTTAAATACGGCATTTCTTACAATTTAGCGAGACAGCAACTAAAACTTTGTCTAATTTTCCCACAATTTTGAGTTCCAAACTAGTCTGCAACGGTCACAACCCAGTGAGTCCATCCATCTATTATCTTTTACCAGCAGTCACTGTGTGAAGGGCGGGGGTACACCCTGAACAGGTCACGAGTTCATCATGGGGCCAGGCCCAGTGAGGCACCGCCTTAAATCATTTTCAGTGACAGCAGTCAACAGTTTTTAATGAATAAACCAGAACCAGGGCTACCACCTTACTTTATCTGCCCTCAACAGGTACTGTTCCAGCAAATTGAAGAATTAGATTTCCAAAATAATCCTGAAGATTTAGGATTCTTTTCAAGCTTTAACTATGAGGTAATAACAAGAATGTTTGTGTCCGACAAGCGAGGGGGAGTTTGCTGCCAGCTGGTCACTGTCACTCGAAGAAGTAGGTCGCAGCAGTTTTTTAGCCAACCCCTCACAGGTTTAACACAGCCGAGGTCACGGATCTGACTCCCCGTGGTTGTATCCCCACCCCCCCAAACATTTCACTGGTTTTATCCCTGACACCTCCCTCCTGTTTGTAAATCTGCCCAAGCTGGGAGCTCCCAGCCCAACACATTAGCAGACACGGTGAAGAGCTTTACTGTCAGCACGAATCTATCACATGTTATTACCCATTCAGAGCCCAGGCAGGTACACCTCCATGAATGTTTCATTTAAAGAGAAAATCTGTCTTTTTTTCTGCTGAGTTTCCTCCAAACCCCTTAGAGTGTTCTCAGTTATCTCCTTCAATCGAATGAGCAGAATAAATTAAATTCACCACAACTTTTTGTTTCCTGAGCAGTTGTGCAGAAACCATGGTTGCATGCTACGTCTTAAACTGAAGTGTGAAGCGTCAGAGATCAGTCTGCTTCTCACCAAACCCAGCAGACATCGAATCTCGTAGATGGCGCCGATGCAGCCAAAGAAGCCCATGGCCATTGACAGGGAACCCACTCCAATGAGGATATATGAGGCCACTTTCACCGTGTGTGATGATTCCTCTGGAGAAGATGAAAACAGAAAGAAAAATGTAAATACAACTGCGTTGCAAAAAGGGGCACTTCTCTGATATGTTAAAGTAGACATCATGCTTTTAAATCCTTCCCTTTGCGCATTCAAATCATTCAGTTGGGGTCTAAATAAAGTGGAACTGCAATGCTTTGGTCTGAATTAGAGGTGGCATCAATTTCATTATTTCTGGGCCATCGGAGATTGGCCGACAGTTAGGCCACATTTACACTGTTTGGATACAGATGCTTACCATGATTCATGGAGTTTTCACAAAGTAAACCAGACATTTTAAAATCAACATATTTTATTTTATTTTTCCTGCATGAAAATATAATTTAACATAGTGTACCACCAGAGGGAGTTGGACCAGGACAAGTTCTTATGGATTAATTGGTTTCATTCTTAGGTATGCAGACTGGGAGAGCCTTGGTAGGAGGAGGAGGAGGAGGAGTTGGAGGAGGAAGAGGAGGCTGAGACTGAAAACAACTGCAAGGTTGAAGAAGAGATACCAGGAGCTATTACGTGGCTGTTTGTTATCTGAGCTGGAAGGGCTCTTGAGAAACAGACAAAGCCAGAATTTGAGCTTGGTGAAACGGTTCCAAGATATAAAGATTGCCTGGCCAAAACAAACCAGGCAGAACCATCAGATCTGTCGCTCCAAAGCATGAGGGCAAGACATTGACTGACTCAGCAGCTCCAAAATGTTTAATATTTATGAATGTACTGCAACACTGCTGAAAAAAAGCTGATCTCATAGTTATTTTAAATTCCAAAACGTGCTGATTCCTTATATTTTTATATAAAATTTTTGCCCTGACACATGTTCAAAAATAGTCAGTGAGCCTCAAAATCTCTTAATTCTTCTTCCAAACCCAACTCTGTTGTTACTTTTTTACGATTTTATCACAGCTTCTTGTTATCACAGGATGCAGGCTGGATTGTTATCAAAAAATTAGCCAACTGCAGCAGAAACTTTCATGACCACAACTTAACTGAAAAGAACCTTTCTGCTCTTTTTTAAATTCAAACACAATAAGGGTCAAACTAATGAAAATAAATGCAACATTACAACGATAATTTCCCCAACATAAAGTTCGAGTGCTACGACCTCTGGAAACGTTTATTATAGCTTGGTATAACACTTAAAAAGCACTCAGAATAAACTTCCAGCATGCACAAAAGCATCCCTGACTCAACATAAGTTACCACAGCAGCACATGTTGTGGTGGTCTCAGCGTATTTGAAACCTAAAATACATAGCTCAACATGTTTCAGGTGTTCATGTGGCTACAGGGTTGTACTTAAAGTAGGCAGAAACATACTCTGTAAGGAACACACTGCTGAACTGTATTTTAGTCTCTCTAATACACGACATAACTACTATCTCTGAAAGCAACAGATGTGCATGGGTTTCTTTAACATATTAATTACATGTGGGGGTTTAGTGTGTTTTAAAAAAAACTTCTTAGTAGTCTGATTGCTAACAGGAGACTGAGTGAGAACATCAAAAAACACTAAACATGCTGACTGTTGCTAAACTCCAATGGGTATACCAGAAAAACCCAATTCAGAAATAAAAACTGCTCCATTTCTAACTATAAGTTTGCAGTTTGAGTAGTAAGATACTGAGATTGGCATCAAGAACATGCGACATTGTTGCATTTGTGTGGTTTTCCTGTTAAAAGAAATCAAGCGGAACTCAAATTCAACTACATTCTGTAAACATCTACATGATCTGTTTTTACTCAGTTTTTACAACAGATTTGCTGCTAACAGCGATACAATTATGGGTTATTTTTCTATTCGGCTATTTGTTTTCTTGAATGGCTTTTAAAACTCAAAAAATGGGGGGTTTCTTGTCAACCCTTTGCAGGTGTCTAAATGTTGCAGAGCACCAAATGTTCACACATCCTACTGTTCTGTGGTGTGTTGCTCTGAGGTAACACCTATACATATTTTGAGACAAACAATTGCCTCAATGTTCTCTACTGTTGTGTACCAAAGCAAGTTTTCATGCAGGACTCTGCTAGTTACTCTGCAATGGTTGTTATAGAGTTTTTTTCTGCCTTTAATGGAACTTTCCATTTAAAAGGGGAAAGAGTTATGCTGCTTTCCAAGACGGCTGCTGTGGGAGGAGAGAGGGCTTTCTGCCATCGCAGATCCCACAGTAAGCATGAACAGAGCCACGCATTTAGCTCGCATACAGGTGGCGAGAAGCCACAGTTGACACAATTTCCAGGTTTGAAAAGTAAACACAGGCGAATCGACTTTAACTTAAATGTTCAGTTTGTACAGTTTAAATAGCTCAAGGAAAAGCAATGCCAAGTTTCTTCTTTCTCTCTTCACGACTCTCTGGATCATTAGAAGGCATTTGTCCAAATTGTGCTTTGGCAAAGTCTCTGGACACATATCTCCTCTCCCAGGCTAAACATACAGTAAGATAAACACTAATCACGCAGCCAGAGTAGAATATTATCATTGTTGTAGTGATGTGAAGGGCTTTAGGTTGAGGAGAGGATGTTCTTTTAACTGAAAAATAAAAGAGGACTGAACTCACAACATTTGCACAGTTTTCCTGCCTGAGGTCACTCGGACAGCTGCGAAGGCTTCTGCTAATAGAACACATGAAGAATGGAAACTGAAAACACGGAGATCCTGTTTATAGACAGGCAATGGTACCGCTTTTGTTCCTTCACACAGTGGTAAAGAGATTTCCAGCGGAGTTAAGACTCCATGGTGGAGTCGAGGTTGACCCCTGCTGGGTTACAGCCACAAAAACACACGCAGCAGAGATGGTAGTAGAGACCCACAAAGGGGGAAAGTCCTGAGGGGATCAGTGAATCGTATCATCAGCTAGATTATTGCAACAATAGGCCTTGGACTGGCAGGGATGATAGATCCTGTTTTTGTTCTCTGAAGGCCTAACTAAAGGTTAGAAAACTCAGCTCAGTAAAACCTTGAACTGATTTCTCCCCATTTTACAGACCTCAAGGGCTCAAACAGGAAGGTGGTATTTAGTTTGTCTCCTGTAGGAAACAAGCTCTTCATAAACCACCTGTCATAATAAAAAGACCTCCAGACTGAATTTAGATCTGCTACACTCGTTAACCCATTGTCAGCTGGTGGCTCCTGGGCCATATCTGGTCTGCAAGCTTATTCTACTGGGTCCACAAAGTATTAAATCATTACAAAATGATGCCCAATCTGAGACAGGAACCAGCTGTAGACTTCATAATGAGGTTTTATTGTTGTTTTGAAAAATATCTTCATAAACACAGAACTGTTTCTAGAATTTTTTTTCTAGAAAAAAAACAACGTAGTACTTGCGTCAGTCTGTATGTGTTGCTGTAAAGCTGCCATGAAAACAAGCATGTGCAGAGAGCTAAATGTAAACAAAAGAAAAAGACGCCCTCAGGTTGTTGACTACATTAGAGCTGGGTCTGTAACAATATCATTTTTTAAAAGTTGATTTTTGGCTGGCTACAAAGAATGCAAAGGTGACATTTCAAGATTTTTTTACTCTGAGAACTCCAAAACTCTTTTAGTGTGGCATACATGTCAAGTTGTGCAGATTGTCCGTAATTTACACTGATTTTCCATTATTTTGCAGGTATACGGATGTTTAGAGCAATCTCGAGTTTTTAAAGTTTTACTGATTTTTTTCAAAACCTCAGTTTCAAATTTATTTAACATGTCAGAGCCTGTAGGAGGTTAAAAAACAATAACAATCTTCCAACCTGCTCTGCCTCTAGAAATAAGCTTTCCCCACTTCTTCTGTTCTCCTTTCCTAAGAACTGATCAAATTTTTTTCCAATTAAAATTAAAGGTTGTTATTTTTATAAATGGTGATTAGTTGCATGGAAGCATCTACAAGTATAAAAACATTTATGGGAACTAACAGCTTTCATTCAATATTCTCCTGTTCCAGCAAGACTGGACTTTGGTTTAATTAGGTTTTTTATTGTACAAAAACAAAGTTGGTAGAATTGTTTTTAGGAAGTTACTCAAAACTGTAGTGTCTTTCCCTTATGTGTTAATGTAGTGCAAATGACAACATTTGTAAGAGTGGGTGATTACATCTGTGCACGTCTACCATCTGGGTAAGTCAAAAGTAAATTCTGTGGAAACTGGGGGAGGGGGGGATTAAACAGCTATTATTCAAGCTGAGCTAAATCAACTTCAGATGCTATTATCAACTCTGTCACCTCCCACTGACAAACCTACATCCCACAGATGTGGCCTGCCATGGCATGTCTGTCTGTCTGTCTGCAGGGGCGAGTTAGCTTGGCAGAGGAAGTCATCAAGTTTCATTGGTGAGTCACTTTTTTTTGATACAGTGTGAACATCCCTTCATGGCTCTGTGGGAATGAGTCCGATGGGATAAAACTGGTCATAAACTGCAACAAGTGAGCCAAGATTTTCAGGATTTTTTTTTCCCTCCCCACATTCTCCAGTTTCTGTTTCAGCCTACTTTGTCCTCAGAGGACTCTGGTTAACTGTACCGAATATAAACTTCTGTGATGGCTTTTTTTTGTGATGAGATGCTTTAACACTTACGCAGAACGGCTATGAAGCTCTGGCTGTCAAGGAGCACCCACAGGCCAAAGCTCATGATCAATGCACCAAATACCTGCAGAGGGAGAGGAGAACATAAATAATCAGGCAGTAGAAGAATAAAACACAAAATCTACGCTCTTATGTCTTTACAGGAAGAACCACTTTTATTGTTTAATTCCTTCCATTTACATCTGGATGTGATCAGACTTTTCTCTTTGTCTCTTTCTCTCATAAACACACTTAAGAAAATATGAAGCATAAAGACGGACTGCTAAAATGGATCTTATCATACTTAAGTGACACAATCGGTCACTAACAGTGTCTGGTAATAAAAACCTAATAAATAAAATAAAAACATAACTGAGACAAACAAAAGTGCTAACACTTCAGGACATCTCAGCAGCATCTGTACGCCTCAGAAAACAATAAAATCTCTCTCGTTTGACTCTTATTGGGGTTATGAAACTCAGAACCTTGACGTAATTAAAAGGGCTTTTGTTTATAAGTTTGGGCACAAAAAATCATCCAATGAGAGGCCCTGTTGACTCTACAGCTTCCTGCTCATATTGTTGCTAATTTGCAGGAGTACTTAGGAGGTGCTCTTTCATAAAGCCTGCTGAGCGCCCAGCGGCCATCATTAGCCCACCACTTCCTGGCTTCCCAAAGTCTCCCCATGCAGAACTTGTCCACGCGGACAAACACTTGATTGAGACCCACACGTTTCCTATTAGACACCAGCTCACATCAAAAGCTCTGTGTCAGGTTTACGGCTGCAGACGCATCGCAGAGGTCTGGACACGCTGGCAGAGGGCGCTTTAAGAGGCCTGGGGTTTCCCCAGCCACTGGACTTTATGTTGGCGTGAGTGTAGGAGAAGATAAAACAAACACAAACCATATGTCGTTCTTTTAGACCTGACTGCTCTTTAAAGTCTCTCGCCTTAGGCAGACTCTCTCCTAACTTCCAGTACAATTTGAATAACGATAAACATTTAAATAAAAAAACCCTGAAAGGCATCTAACAGCTCTCAGTGTGTCGTGACAGATAATATTTTAGCAGAGGAACATCATCTCCCTGCATCAACTAAACAAAGCAGCTGAGAAAGTGGACGTCATTCTAACACAAGGCTCTTTCATATAACACCTCAAACTGGAACTAAGGTTGGGTAAAAACCTGTCGTGTGCAGTTGATCATCAGAAAAACAGTCACCAATTATTATTTGCCATTGACGTTTGTGTGCGATGCACTCTCACTTATCAAGCGAGCATGCGAGCCCAGTGGCAGAAAGCTAATGCTAACGCTACAAATTTCTTTAATCACCTGAAACTTTATACACAAGGGTCAGTTTTTACTATGCTTCTTAAGCTAAATAAAATTGTGTGTGTGTGTGTGTGTGTGTGTGTGTGTGTGTGTGTGTGTGTGTGTGTGTGTGTGTGTGTGTGTGTGTGTGTGTGTGTGTGTG